TCGCCGTAGCCGATTTCCTGTAGAGGAGAGCGGATCGCTTTCACCCGAGCTGGCTTTCGGAGCGCTGTCACCTTGTGAACTGGCGGGCTGTGTTGTTCGTGTTAGGGGGGGAGTACAGGGAAACACCTGAACGGGACAGGCTCGGTTTGAGTGGTGAGGTAGCAGCAATGCAACGTCAGGGTTCCAAAAGCTTTTGCAACATAACTGACATTTTGGGTTGTGATAACAAGCATATTTTTTGAGGTGGGGTGCAGGTAAAACTTAAAACCAGAAGATTTTACTTTTTAACTAAGGAATGTAACGATTTCTAAGCAGTTATTGGAGCGTTTAAAAACAACAATGGTGTTTTTGTCTGGTTATATAAAGTGTCACCACAGATTAGTGAAATTGTTGGGTTTTTGCCATCCTCTGTCCTAATCCTTGAAGCTAAAATTACAGAGAAAGAAAACTGTTTTATTACCAGAGACCTCATTAATGTATTTAAGCTAGTTTATGTTGCTGGGGATGGTAAAAATGAAATTATTTTTATTTTGCCTACCTTGTTGAAAACAAGGAGACAAAAATCACAGAGAATTTTGGGGGTATTTTAGCCTACCATAATTTTTTTTTCTCACCCTGTTCACCTCTTGTAAAATATTTGGTAAATAGTTTTATGTTCTTAGTTAAGTATATTTCTAGTAAGATGCTCTTCTAAAACTTCAAGTGTTTTGCAGAAGTCATAGTAACTATCACGCTGTATTGGGACAGGGTTGATATTTGATAACTGCTCATTCCAGGTGCTCTAAGTATTGGTATGCCCCATGGCATACTGAGTGGGGACATTATTTTGGAAAGTGCATTGAAAACTATTTTTTGAAGTACATCAAAACATATGAGAAAACACTGCTAATAGGGAGCTTCCCTATTTATACCTATAATTAGGTATTTGTTTGCATTCTGACATGTTAAGTGGTTTATCTCCTGTTGGAAAAGTCTCAACTACAGTTGCACAGTGCAGAAGCTACTTCTAGAAATTGCTAATTCGTTTTCATTAATGCCATGAAAACAAATATTGGATAAAGATTTTCAAGCCTTGTCATATGACAGTGTCTTTCCCTTTGATTTTTATATTGTACCCCCATAGAATAGTTGGTGTATACATTTTAAAGTATTATCATTTGTTTGAAAGGTTTGGACCTGGCAGGGTAAACATCTGTGTGGAATTTCCCAAGCTGGGAGCTATTGGTGCTTAAAGCTTCTGTTTTGTTTTGGTTTTTGGTGATGTTAGTTTTGCTTTGTCGTGTTGCTATACTTGAAGACAAAAACTGAACACCACCAAGAGCATGAAACATTTTTGATAAATAATTTTAAAGGTTTTTTTTTTTCCTGACTGGAACATCTTTAAACGTTCACCTTCAAATCAAAGTATGGTAACAAGTCTTAATAATATTAAGACTTACTGTGAGTAGAGGAAACTGAAAACATCCTTATGCAAACCTTTGGGGTTCGTGTGATTTCTCAATTTTATATTACTATTGTGACTTTAAACAATCATCTAGGATTTAGAAAGTGCACTGATAAGTAGCAGTGGGAAATACACCCATTACTAAACAACTTTTTTTGTTTTTAAGTGACTTAGTGGATGGCTGGAAGTTGGTGTGACCATTGAGCTGCTGCAATGTTCTGCTGCCTGAGAGCCGTGAGAAGGTACGGTGTGTGGCTGACCTTTGGCATGCATTTGCATGTTTGCTTATGACTTTCATGTATGTAAAACTGGTTTTGGTATTTTTGTTTAATGCCTATTTCATTGGTGTTCTCATCTTTACAGCCTGAAGCTTTCAACAGAGTGTCCGTGTTTGAAAATCCCTAAAAGCCATATGCCTGTCTTTGAGTGAAACGTTAAAAAGGATTTTCAACAAAACAAGGGGTTTAAAATAGCTTAAGCATGAGAAAGTGATAGCCTGAATATGATAACTATTATGTTACCACATTGAGTTATTAACACTGTTTCAAAATGAGTGAATATATCTGCAATAATAAGTTTAATTTAACAAAGCTTTTCAGTGCCAAAGCTTTAAGCCAAAAAGTTAAGTTCAGAGGGATCTGAAGAAAAAGTAAAAAGAAAGCTGAAGGGAATTATTTAGTCAATAAAATCAGTGCTACAGTATGATTGTGTAATGTGTTGTAGTGGAGATTGTGTTTCATATCTCTCACCAAGTGGAGACGACTGTCATCAAAGTGGTTATGACCTTGATTTTAACACAAATACTTTCTCTTCAAATCTGAATGAAAATCTTGGAACAATCCTTGTTCCTTGCGAGTGAAGCCATAACTATCTTTCTTGCTTTTTCTCTCCCTGATTTTAATTCAGTTATTTTGTGACTTCACTTGAAGGATGCCTCAGAGTTCTGTGTTTCACCTTCAGTGAATGAATTCTTCCTTCTGTCACGCAGACTAATTTTGGCCTTTGAGCATTTCTCTTTTAAGCAAGTTCAAAATAGATTTTTGGCTGGAATCCTGAGCCTTCCTACTAGTACATCAGTGTTATTTAGATACAAAACAAGGAACTCAAGTTAACCGTACTTGTCCATTTTTCTTGTAGAAGGCCAGATGGAAGTTTTTGATTAATAAACTTGGAGGTATGATTAATAGTTTCCATGTACATTGGAACTTTTTTCTTCTAGCTCCTGGAAACCACATGCAATGTAGCTTGAGAGTGGATGTGGGAAACCATATACATGTAAGGTGAAGAGAGAACTGAGGTCCTTACTTCCTCCTAGCAACTGGGTCTAGGAGGATGTGCATTTCTCGCATGGCTGTTAGTCAAAACTGCTATAATATAGGTAGCTGGTTAATTTACTATTTTTTTTTTCCTTTGTTGAAAAGAATCTTTCTACACCTTTGTGTCCACTCACTGAGATGAAAAAATTTGGGGTTTGATATTTTTTTTCTTCAAGACAACTATTTTGGTGTTTCCAGATCCAAAATGGTAAAGCATATGACCAAGTGGACTTTTATCCTGTGTGCTTTGCTTCCTTTATTGCCAAGTCAATTAGAGGGCTTCTCCCCGAATCACTAACCAACCCTGACATGTTCTTGTCAGTGAGAGCTTTTACCCTCCATAAAAACGTGGTATTGCTGTGCTACTCCTTCATCTCCTGCTATTTTGAGTAGGATCATGAGCTACACTGACAGCTAGCCTTAGAGTGTTTCTGAAGTGCAGTCAGCAGGGAGGTGAAAGCATTTGCCAGTAATACATTTTATATTCTTTTAAGGTCCTGCATTTAATCTGTGCACATGGAAATTGGTTTTAGTCATAATGGTTTGAAATTTTATCAGTCATCTTACATTACAGTTTTTCCATCCCATTTTTCTACAAAAACTCCTCCTGTTTTCAGCAAGCTGACTTTTTAAGCCCTACTAATTAAATATTTCTACCCACCTCTTAGGCAGAAAACACTAGCTTTAACTGCTTTCATGTTTAATTGAGGAGCTGGAACGGTTGACAGACAAGAGGTAAAGCAAGGGTCATTGCATCTGCTTGACATCTCAACTGTTGTCATTTACTCTACCATTTGCCAACATGAAAAATAGTGCTTCTTGTCAGAGTACAAATTTGGGGATATTTTGGATTGTAATTAATAAATACAGTCAGAAAAAGACTCACATGTTTCTGTGTTTAGGACAATTATTTGGTCTAGGCTGTTGAACAGATAATTCTTTGTAAAACAGTCTTGCTTACTATTATTAATAAAGCTCTTAGTTTTATGTGAATTAGAAGCAGCTTTGCCTCCAGTCTGCCATATACTTTCCTGCTTGGGGCTTGTGGTTTTTATGATACTGTGAGGAGTGAAACAGCATTGTATTGCTTAGCAAAGCAGAGTCCCTACCCTCCAGAGCTGCAAGCTAGAATAAACGTTAATCACAGAGGAAATGACTGGCCCATCCAATTTGTTGGCCTGTGAGATCAGCTGAAGGAGGAAATCTGTTATTAAAAATGTATCAATTCACATTTTCTTGCTTCTTTTATATATGCTATTATGTCATGGTAATTAGTCTGCTAACCTGACTATCAGCTTTGAGCTGTGGCAGGAAATTTTGGTGAAATTTTGTTTCTTCTGAATGAAGTTCAGAACTTGTTTTTCCTTCCGTTTCAGTCTTCTGTTACACAAGTGTGCTTGTTGCAGAGCTGTTAATTTATGCATAATTGGAGGTATTCAATCTTCTGTACTTCCTGAACTTTCTAGAACTTATTCAACATAGCTCTTTCTTCTGATCTTAGGTGAAGCAATCTTTTCCTACCGCTGAAAATTCTTTTAGTCCTCGTTTTCTTAAATTTCAGAGAAGATCAAAGGGGGAAAAAAAAATTACTTGATGCCTTCTATAAAAGAGTATGTTTGGGAAAGTAGATTAATTTTTTTTTTTTAAATGGACAGAACTATGACTAATTTTTTTTCTTTTTTAAATGGACCTCAGAAAATAGTGCAGAACTTCTTTTGACTGAATTGTGATGGTTATTCCTGGGTGAAACGTGATATTCTTTTCACACTGCTTGAAAAATACTGGGTTTGGCTTTTTAACTTGGAAGTTCAAAAGTATGTTAGAGTTGGCTTTTAAAAGAAGCAATAGCTACAAAACACACCACTAAAGCCAGTCTTCATTCAAACCTGTTGAGTGGGGAATTTTTATTTGAACCTGCTTTGAGAAAGTAGAGGGAAAAAGTTACTGTACTGATTGGTATGTTTTTAATCAGCCCTTAGCATCTGCTGTCTCCCAGACCGGTTGGATTTGCTCTTTATAAATGTGGCTTTTTGAGTCCCAAGGGGGAATATCCAAAACTCTGTAATCTAATACTAGTTTTAAATGATTATACTTGCAACCACGAATGTTTACTCTGTCCTGTCATGTTCTAATGTAATTTTTCTCAGTTTGTCACTTACTGGTTGCATCAGACATAAACATTTTATTACTTTATTAGGTTATGTCTGGAGAAGATGTTGCTACAATGCATTCTTCAGTCAAGAACTTTGTCGGGAGCTGATGCCATCAATGCTCTCAGACCTTTCTATTTTGCTGTACATCCAGACTTCTTTGGCCAGCATCCCAAAGAGAGGGTAGAAATCTTTTTGTATTATTTCCTTGTAAATATGTTGTATATCGGGGATGGAAGTGTTCTGGATTTTCTGCTCTCAGAGAAACAAAAGTAGTCTTAGAATTGAATATGGTTGTTACCAGAGAACAAAAAGATGCACTTTCTTTGTTTTTAACAAGAATAAGTCTCTTAAATATCCTTTATGTGTTACTCATATTTTCTGTTTAACTGTTATAAAGAAAATACTGAATCCTTTTGGACTAATTTATAATACATGTTGTGTGCTTTATTGCCTTGAAATGCTGTGCATTCTCTTTGAATCACTGGATTTCTTTAAGCTTGAAAGCCTTAAAAGTGATATTTTGGAACGCACAAGTATGTATATCATGCATTTTATTCATGCAAGATAATGGTTCATTTACGCTGAGAATATGAACCATTACTACTTGTTAAGAGCAGCTGGCAGTTTATGAAAACTACTTCTACATGTAAGATTAAGAAGGTTTAGATGAAAACTGGCCACATTCTTCATCTGTAATGTTTTGGGGTTGGTTGGTTTGTTTTTCTTGAACAGGAAGTAAATGAAAACTCTCTGAAGAGGTTAAATGGCTACTTGGAGAACCTACAGAAACCAGGATTTCATTCCTTTAAACCAACACAGCTTACTTTTTATGTAAGAGAAAGAGAACCAAACTCTTCTAATGTTCAAGAATCCTTCAGTGCTTCAGGTACTTTTATATTGTGCAGAATGTATCTTCCTGTATTTAAATCCTTTCAGAGCATGACTTACCCTTGTGCAGTCATAATGAATTTTCAATTGAGCAAAATCCTGTCAGACTGAAAATACATATAAGATCAGACAACCAGGACCGTCCCAAGTAATTCATCATCCTAAGCCTTAAAAGGTATTGAAAGAATGAGAAATTATAAAGTTGAAGTCAAGTTACAGAATGAGGATGTAAAGGGTAATTTTTATGCTTTTAATGTGATTGTCATGGTTAACTGGAACAACAGTTGGTTCCTTGTTTTCACTGCAGTTAATGCATAGTACACAATATTAGGGTACTTGTAGGACAAGTAGGAGCTTGTTCTGTAAGTAGAAGTTGTATAATACTTGAAGCTTAAATATACTGCATTGTCTCTTAGCTCTGAGACTACAGAACATATTGCTGGGCTTGGAATATTTGTACTGATTCATTTTATTCTGTGTATTTGTATCTGATATACCAATATGCCTTACCTAACAGATGAGGTTTATGTTCTGTATGCTGCTAGTCAAAACACTTAAGCAATTTTGAGGGACCCTAGTGCTAGAAAAGCTTCTGTTCATAGCCTGTGAAGAGCTGTTGCAGTACTGTTTCTACAGGAAATTATATCCAAAGTGATGACCAGCAATAACATGAATTGTATAGAGCTGTTGGACAAAACTGCCACTGCTAAAGGGAAAGCATCCTTTTTGGGTTGCACCAGATCTGTAGCTAGGTTTCCAATTCGCACAATGATTCAAATAGTTAAAACAGCTCTGTTTCTATTTTTGGACACACAACAGTTTTAAAGGGTAAACTTGAACTTTGCAAATAATATTGATATATCAATATCATCATGGTTTCCAACTATGCACGGCTTGTTTGGGTTCTTGTTAGATTACTGAAACGTGAATGCATTTTAAATAATTTTAATTAAATAATGCTACTTTTGTCTTACAGGTTTTCGAGCAGTCAGTTTTACGTTACACACTAGAGACCTCCTGAGCACAGTATTGGATATTCTCAACTCCTGCAGTTTATCTACAGAGCATATTCAAAGTTTGAATGTGAACGCTCAGCACCACAAGGAAGCAAAAAGCACAGTGAACAGACCTATCAAATGGGATAAGACTTACTATTCATTTACTGGATTTAAGGATCCTGAAGAGGAACTAGAACAAGCCCAGAGAATGGAAACAACTTTAATGTATGTAAGGCTTTTATTTAACTGGTGTTTTGTAGCCTTAATTGTTTTTATTCTAATACTGAGTTTTTTAAAGGCAGACAATGAACATTCTGAACAATACAAAACTTTATTCTCCAACATGTAATTTTGTCACGCTTCTTAAACTTAGAGTTCAAATGAGCTCTTGGGATAACTATAGTGCCAGCGAAGCTGAGGCATTCTTCTCTCTTTGCCTGTTTGGTCAATTTCATTCTGGTGGATCTAGTTTTCCAGTTTTGTGGAATATTGGTAGCAATTCAGAAGGACATTCATGGGACGTACTTCCAGTTATAAATACTGAATTTGCATTGAATGCAGCATGTTGTGTATTAGAAGTTTGTTATTTATAAAATCTGTATGTGGTCATTTTAGGAAAGGCTGAAAAATACTGCCTTGAAAAACTTTTTCTAACAAAGGGACTTAGGTGCCCTTTGAAATAAATGCAAAATGCTTATTCTGACAATAAGAATAACCTCCATCCTAGCACCTTGCAGACAGAACTACTATAATGTATGCCACTGTAAAACATTTAGCTGAGATTTAACATACTAGAGAATAATTTTACTTATTTTTACACATTTACAAGAAATTCTACAAACAGTTACATATTAACAGCCTGGTTTTAATACGTAGCCATTTGGCCTCTCTTTTTTGCTTCCAAGTTTGAGCTTTTCTGTTTAGAATACAATATGAGGATGGAAGTATTTGTAAGAGTATGAAAGTAAGTTTATGCTATGAACAAAGACTAAATCTCCTTAAGAGGAGCTTTTTCCTAGAAACAAAATGATGTATTTATTGAAAGTTTTAGATGTACTCCATGAATCATGTTTGCCTGATTGTGATTACTGACAAAAGAACCATAAAACTTTGGTCTCCTTAATCTGTGTTCATTCCAGCTCTGTATGAGTTACCTAACTCAGCCCTTTAGGACCACTTCCTTTATTTTGTAGTCTACTATGATAAATTTGGTTGTTTTGTTGGTTTTTTTTTAAAATGCATATGTGTGGGAACTTCTTTCATTAAAGCACTATGTTCTTGAAACTGCCCTCCTAAATCACACTAATCTGCTGCTCTACACCTTTCACACTTGTGGGTCCTGTGGTTATAACGCTGTCAGTGTCTTTTAGTTCGTTTGATTCCCTAGTCCCACCCTAAGACATTAAGCACCAGCTTTTCCTTTATAGATAGCTCAGGTGAAGCACTTGGCAATTTCAGTTTCTGTCCTCTACATTTAAAAAAACTCCTTTACCTGGTAGTTTGAAATAAAGTGTTAATGTTAACAGTAAGAATTCTGTTGTAGTGCTTGCGTGCAAGAAAGATAATAGAGTGTGCCTCTACTGCTGAGATTTTTTTCCTCCTTTCAGATCCTGGCTAGATGATAATGAAGCAAGTGCAGTGACAAAGCTGAAAAAGAGTTTGCCTCTACGGAAAGAACTAGAACGTTTAAAATTCGAACTCTCTCGTCAGCTGCAGCTCTCAGACATCAGGTAATAAATTAGATCAGTCGGACTGGCTTTGAGACAAAGCAAGGAAGTGTTGTGTAATGCTACACCATGAACTTTAAAGGCTTATTTTGGTAAAGTGGCTGTATTTCATATATGTAAAAGTGTTATTGCATTGAATAGTATTTTTCTAGAAAAATTCTATTTGCACAAAAGTTTACTGTTAGAATCTGCTTAAAGAGACGTAGTATTTCTAACTAATGACATAGGCTCCAGTTGAGGCAAATGCATAAGTACCTGAAACAGAGCCTGTGTGTATGCATTACTTTGTCTGGATTGCTGGATAAAAACTTTGCTCTTGAATTCAAGTGAATATTTCCAAAGGTAGCTAGATTGGCAGTCAAATGTAATTCTGAACATCATACATACTGACATTCTGTGAAGGATTAATAAAAATGTTGTTCTTTCTAGTGTCTTGTTTTCAACACTCCAGACAAGGAGGATATTTCTTTGCTTGGAAGGTCTGAGTACAGTTGGTCATCTTGATTGTTCAGAATATTTTCCAGAAAATGTGTGATCCTTTTTTAAATTTTGTGCCTTCAAATGAGGGTATTCTGAAGTTATATATTCAGGGTGGGAAAATGGCAGTGAGGGTATTCAATAATGGAAAAATAAACTTTCGGGGATTATTTCAAGAACTTGTCTGTTAAGTTCTTTTAACCAGAAAGGAGCAACTTGGAGCTTCTGAAATGATGCTTTTGTTCCTTTCACCCTGGCTTCCTTTAAACTGAAGCTATTTTTTTAACACAATTTCTAATCTTCTGCAACTGTGCTATGGTGGAGGTTTTTAACTGTCTAAAACAATCCTCAGCAGTAAATGTGTAGGTTTAGGTTTATTCATGGCTTATATTTGATTTTATTATTTAAGGAAATGGGCTTAAGTTGAGCCAGGGGAGGTTTAAATTAAATATTGGGAAGAATTCCTTTACTGGAAGAGTGGCCAAGCATTGGAACAAGCTGCCCGGGGAGGTGGAGTCCCCATCCCTGGAGGTGTTAAAAAAAGTGTGGATATGGTACTTCGGGACATGGTTCAGTGGTTGTGGTGGTGTTGGGTTGATGGCTGGACTTGATGATCATAATGATCCTGTGCTTCTATGGTAATTCAGAAAACAACGTGTCAGGATTCTGACAAGTATCTTACTAGGAAACTAATACTTGTGATTTTGCAAGCTAATGCTGGTGTTCACAGATGTTTGAAAAAATACCAGGGTCATTTGCTTGATTCCGTGCATAAATTTAGGCTAGCTGAAGAGAAGATAGTATCTATGAGACACCTTTTATATTCCTGTCTGGTGCTACTGAAAGCAAGGTAATATTGCTAGTTAAGAAGTTATTAGAGTGACTTGCGTTATAATAGATGGAGTTGCCTTTTAAATGCTGTGGCATAGTGCCATTCTGTGCATCCCAAGGAGTGGTTTTTTGCCAGTTGGTTTCTCTAAATGTTATTATGTGGCTTGACCGCAGGCAGCAGCTAAGCACCCACACAGCTACTTGCCTATACACCCCTACTGGGATGGGAGAAAGACAATACAAAGAGCAAAAGCAAGAAAACCCCTTAATCAAGGTAGAAGTTTAATAGGTGAAGTTGAAATGAAGTTGTGCATTCAAGCAGAGCAGAAGGAGGAATTCTTTGAATACTACCCATCGGCAGACAGGCATTTAGCCCTTTCTAAGCAGAGCCTCAGCATGTGTAACCATAGAATGGTTTGGGTTGGAAAGGTCCTTCCAAGGTGTAATTCCGCCCACTCTGCCATGTAATGCTTGCTTGGGAAGGCAAATACCATAAGCACAAGGGTCCTCCCTTCCCTGAGTGTTTATTGCTGAGCACACCACCACATGATCCAGAATACCCTCTGGTCAGCTGGTCACCTGTCCTGCCTGTGTCCCACCTCCAGTCACCAGTGGAGGGGGATGGAGTGCGAAGAAGAAAAGAGAACCTGGACACTGTGCCAGCACTGAGCCATAGCTAAAGCAGTAGCACTGTTCTAGTAGAAACTAGAAAACACAGGGGTGCTATGAAGAAAATAAACTCCATCCCAGACAGGCACAATGCAATAAGAGAATGATAATTTCCTATTTTGAGACAGTTTTATATCAGTCAGAAGTTTGTAAAAGGGGGATGTTTTTCAACACACTGGGACAACTCCACAATTTAAGTGCTTTTTGCAATTTTAGTTAGGAATTTGATCTGTCTGTGATGGAAGAAATGTCAAAACTGTGTATTTAAGCCACCAGTGTAACACCTGACTCCTGTTACAGTTTAACAAAAATTACTCAACTGTAAAATACATACATATAGCAATGTACCACTGGACTCATAATAAATTTTTGGGCTAGAAACTTGAGGGGAAAAAAAAAGAGGCCATGTCCTTATATTTGCTAATCTAGACAAACATTACTTAGTCTACAAACAGAAACTGCATGCCACATGACTGAACCAAATACTGAGATGTCTGTTGATATTTACTTAGGAAACTCCTTTTTATTGGGGGAGAGATTTGCAAGTTCAGTTCTGTCTGTTGGGCTTTGTACTCATTTTTCCTATATTTGGTTATACTCCTCTTTGAGGGGGGGGACACTTTAAGAAAGACTGAAATTTTATTTAGGCTTTTTATCTGTTCAAGTAGCATCTGATATGGGCCAACTTTTTAATATGCCTTTGCTTTTATTACTGTTGGAGTGCTATTTTGAGCTGTTTGTTTTATAGGGCCTTCAGCTCCATGTCAACTTCTGTTGTTTTTTTTATTATTATTAATAATGGTGAGAGTTAAATGCTTTCAATTAATTTTTCTTTAGGTGGCAGAGAAGCTGGGGCATAGCTCACCGCTGCAGCCAGCTGCACAGTCTGGGTCGCTTAGCCCAGCAGAGACCTGAAGTATTAAAGAATGTTAAAGGTACTTCAGTGGCTTGTTTCATACAACCTCATACAGTCTTGATTCAAAGATGAGCATGAGTCTTCTCTGACAAGGGAGCTCTAGCTCCTTTCACAAATGCTTTTGATAATTGCAAAATCAGACCTGTCAGGCTAGCTGCAAAGCTGGTGAGAACTTACATTCTAAGCTACCAGGTTTGTTTTGTTTTTTTTTGTTTTTTTTTTTTTTCAAAATTACCTTTACTTATATTTGTATTTGCTACACTTGGCTTCTGTTTTACTTCTTGATAAATGTGAACTGGGTGAGTTGAAGGCACTAGACTTAGTACTAACAAAGGAAGTAAAAAATCCAGACTGAACCTCTGAAAATGGGGAGGTAGTAATACATTGTTAACCATGGTAGATTCAAGACAAAAATGCAGATAGCTCTCTAAAGAGCCAATATAAGAAAAGGTTTATTAGAATACCTTTAAAATTATATTGTCTTCTCTTGTCATGCATATGTGATAAAATACCATATTGTCTAAAATATTCTGTAAACCTGACCTACCATTCTTATACATGTTTGACCTGTGGCAGCAGCTGTTTCCTTTAATTGGAACTCCACATTTTGTGCCTTGCTACGGGTACTCAGTTTTGAGTGGCTTTCCTTTGAGGATTCACCTAATCGTTTGTCAAAAGACAGAGTGGGGAGACAATAAGTTAATAGTTTTAACTTGTATTAGTTTTCTAATTCTAATTAATTCTTTACCTAAGCATGCCAATCACTTAAAATACTAGAGAAGTCTGTCTCATGAACCTGTTAGTCTCCATCTTTAAAGATCTTTAATAATACACTGGACAAATAACCTGTTAGTAGTTTTACAGGTACAGCTGATCTTGTCTTGGATGAACTAGATGCCTTAAAATCAGTGTACCCTTTCTTAAAGATTTTGGAAACCTGATTTCTGAGAACAAGAGGTTCTATTTGAGCCTTGTCTTGTAGATTAATGCATCACACTGAAGACTTTTGTGAAAGCTTATTTTGATAAGCCTGTGCTTTTACACTAATGAATTCTTAAGGATCTTTGTACTTCACTTTAAAAACCCATATTCAGACTAAAAACCAATTTATCCCCCCAAAAGTAAACCTAGTATTATCCTTTTATGTTGTCCTTTCTTTTAAAAGAGAGCAAAAGCTCAATGGGAAAGTTTTGTATAGCTTGCGTATTGCAGAGGATTCTGTGGAAGTAGTGCTGAATGTCTGTGCTAATAGTTCTTTGACCAACCTTTACCTTATTTATATAGCATTTATTTCCTACCGTATACATGACTTGTATGATTTTTTTTGAATATGCAATTTGCTGAGACTTTATTTTAAAACTAGCCTTTGTAAGAAAAGTCCTGTTAACTAAAAACCTATCGAGTTTAAACAGGGAGAAAGCAAAAGCTAGGTAAGGTTTGTACGGAAAAAAAATTCTTGAGCAGGAGTTTTCAAGAATCACTCTTTCAAATTGTGAGAATAACAGAAGCATTTACTTGTGTGTGTGTGTTTGTGCTTCAGAAGTGTGTTGCTTATGACACGTTAGTAACATAGTTAAGTCTTAAATAATTGTAGGAATAACTGCAATAACCCAATTAGTAAAGAGCTTTGTTCAATCTTTAGGGCGCACAGTGATATTTACAGACCGTTCAGGTATGAGTGCAGCAGGCCACATAATGCTGGGGACCATGGATGTTCACCATCACTGGACCAAAGTAAGAAGATTTCAAAGTAAATGATAATGCCTCTTGTTATGATAACCTTCTTAAAACTGTAACCAAGATATTAATTAAATTTAAAGCACATACATGGCTAATATGTTTAGATAATTGTGTACATTGCATTCTGAATTTAATCCTGTGATACGCTAACAACAATCTTTGTCAGATCTTTACTGCTGCTTTCACTAACAAATCAGTCCTACTGCTGGTTAGATAGAAAGAAAACCAATTTGTTATGCAGTGTTCCAGTCTATACACTGAGCAATGGTACAATATTTCATTATCTGTAAGGAGCTCATTCTCTTAAAGAATTTAGGGATTTTATTCCAATTTTTTGTAAAAATGGGACTTGGAGTTGAAAAGTCATAATTTCAGTCAATTGGCTGCTAACCAACCCTGTTAGCATTAAGTCCACTTTGTTCTTGTAGGCAGATAATGTGGATGTTGCAGAAAACTAGATTTAGTGACTGTGCAAATTCTGATGCTGCTTGTGTAAAGTTTGGAGTTAACAAGCTTTCAGTCATCCTAAAAGATAAAATATTGTATGCAAAGAACCACAAAATATATAGGAATATCAGCACGGCAGTTAAGGAAATTTTCTTTAATCTCAGTTACTGGAATGTTATTGATAGTCCTATCAAAAAATATTTCTTTACAAAGGAGATAATCAGTGGAATTGCAAACTGGCAACTTTGCTGGAATATCAGAATATTCTATATTCCAATCAGTTAATAATATGAAAATTTAGCACTCAGTCCATATCTTTCTCTGGTGGTTGTTTGAACTTTTGCCTATATGTGTTTCACTTAGGAAGGAAATAAACTATGGTTCATTTATGTGAATGATTTACAAAGAACTTAGACTGATAAGAATTTAATGCAAAACCTTCTACTCTGAGATTTGCAAGTGTTGATAGTCATTGGAATAAAAGTGTTCTTCTGACTTATACTAAAAAAAAAAAAACTCTCTTCCTTAAGAAGAGAAATGCTTCCTCTTTCTGACTTTTGCCAAGGGGTTTTCTGAAGGGGTCATGTATTTTGCACAAAGTATTGTGCAAATGGGACCATGTGCGAAGTTGGTTGTGCACGATGGTAATTGCTTTGGAAGACAGAGGAGAGGTACATATTTAAACCTGAAATCAAGGGCTTTTTCTTTTAAAATGCACTGAAGATCATATTAAATGTTACACAGAAAAGGTGAGTTAAAATCCTGGTGAGATTAGTTAGCCACTTGGTTTTTAGAGAGTAGGTTTTTTGTTCAGTTCTTACCCTTTTAGAAAGCAGTCTTAAGTGCTAGTACTTTTGACACTAATTATTAGCAAAAGGAAGCAGTAGAACAGTGTCCAAGTCAGTCTGTAGAATGCTTGGTCAGAGGCACAGTATTTACAGGATTTTTTGCAGGTTTTCTCTGTAACACATGGAAATGCTGAACCAATGAGTTTTATTTTGCCCAAAACTGCTCTGATATTACTAATGTCTTGGATTTCTAAAGAGACTATTCTGAAATCACTTGACTTCTTCCAGCAGTAGATTGATAGGGGTTTTTTTGTATGGAAAATTGTGTTCTAGTAATAACTGGGTGGATGGTAAGTAGTGACTATAACTACAGACTTTCCTCTCACTTGGCCTTTTGCAGCCTTCTCCCTATCATACCTTCTGTGTCTCAACTTACAAGTGTGATCACTTCTTAACCTTTTCTGGTATAGGTTTTGTAAATTAGATCTCTGATACATCTCTTTTCTCCTTTGCCTTCAGACTCAAGAATAGCTAGGTTATTATTCAAACTCTTGGAAAGAGCTATCCCCGGCAACAGAGACTTTATGAGAATTGGTATAAATCAGGCTGGCAAAAACATTTTTGACAGTAGTAGAGCTGTTCCACATACAATAACTGTAGTGATAAACATTTGATGTAGGCCTCAGATTATAAATATTCTTTTTTTAATCTGAAACTACTAATTTCTATATATATAAAGAAGACATCCATCAGTCTTGTTAGGGCCTTTTGGTGCCTTTTTACTATAAACACTGGAAATACTTATGAGCTTATTATTCCATTTTATCTTGACTCAAAAATGTACACACTTGGTATTTCTGATTTTTTGTTTTTCCCTTGGGTTCCATGTTTGCATTAAGTGTCTCTTTTTTATAATTTCTTGTTTTGTTTTTTTTTTTCATTTCTTAAACTGAAATTAAGTTTTATGCTTTGTAACATAGAAAACATTTGTGTGTGTGCACAGGTTTTTGAGAGATTGCCAAATTATTATAAACTTCAGAAAAGGCTGCTGTTCTTGGAAGATCGGATAAGCCAGCTTCTGGGAGGCATACAAGTAATCTACATTGAAGAACTGCAACCCCTGTTGACCCTAGAGGAGTATTATGAGTCTCTGAATTCTTTCTACAGTAAATTATGTGACAGTAGGCTCCCTTTTCATCCTCGCAGCCTACGAGGCTTGAAAATGATTCTGGAAAGGTAGGGATTTGCAGGAAAAGTTTCTTCCTTTTAGAGCTTTTACTTTTTTGTTTGTTTGCTACACTGATGCTCTCACTAAGAAGAACACTATCACAGATTTTCATTATGTCACAATGTGGGGGTTCAACCCTAGCTGAGCAGGTGATTCCCATCAAGCCACTCTGTCACCCTCCACCATTTTAATTAGAAAGTGAAGCCAAGCAAGGCTGGGCATGGAAGCAAAGAGCTAAAAAATAAAATATACTTATTCTCTATTTCCCATCACCAGCAGGGCTCCAAAATGTGTAGCAGCTGCTCTGTAGGGCCAAGGAGTAGACCCCCCCTCCTCCTTTGTACTAGCTTTATAGCTGAGCAGACATCATATGGTGTGGAATATCCCTTTGGTCAGTTCAGGTCAGCTGTCCTGGTTAGGTTCCCCCCAAGCTCCTGCTCCCCCTGTCCCACTGAAGGGGGAATGTCAGAAAGAGCCTCGGTGCTGTGCGAGCTCTGCTCAGTGGTAGCCACACCATGGGTGTTATCAGCACCCTTCTGACTCCCAACACAAAAGCACCACACCAGGAGGCTGCCATGGGAAAATCAGCTCAGACAGACCCGATGCACACAATCTTTTTGTTTCTAAGGTTTTTAATTGCCTTTTTATTGGTCAAAAAAATAGTTTGATTGAAGAAAATTGTCCTTATTTCATTCAAGTTAGAGTCAAAGGTTTGTCTTTACTTAGTGTTGTGCTGGGTTAAATCAAAGGGTTTGTACTGCCTGGTCAACACTGGGCTGTGTAAGATGGTGCTGCTGTTTATATATTCTGCATATTGTTGACAGTTGCTTTTGAAATACAATTTTAAAAAAGCTCTATGTATGATGCTTCAGTATGCTCATCAACCAAAACTGATTAGCTTTTCACCAGTTATTCTGCCTGTGATTGATACTGTTATCTTCACAATTCATTCTGAAAGTAGTGAAACTAATTCTTTCAGTACTTGCATTTAAAAATGATCGTTTGTTTTTTACTTCCATCATGTTTCGTTAGTGACAGATACACACCAAGCTTACACGAATTCGGACACTTCACGATCCCAATGGCCTGTGACCCAGCAACCCTTCAATGGTTCATTTTTGCCAAAGCACAGGAAGCAAGAGAGAATCTGAAGAGAAGGGAGGAGTAAGTGTCAGTGTGACTCAAAACTTATCTCATGAAAGTCTTTGCATGTCATATGTTTTATTTGGAGGAGGTGAAGAGCTTTGAGGAACGTATTCTGGCTCTTTTGTTGGAAAGAACTTTCTGTTTATGAAATGTGGCTATCCATTGGCTTTGCTATATAAAAAATGTCAGCGTTCAGTGAACACAGTTGTTAGAAAATACCCATCCTTCACCATGTAGAAACAGTTGTACTCGATTCAGAAATAAAAAATCTTTTCTTACAAGACAGAGGCTGCGTTTTTTTTGTTTTGTTTTGTTTTGTTTTTTTTTTTTTACAATTACTGTTCCGAAAGAGAGATGTGTTGGATTTTTTTAAGGAAGAGACCTTTTTATTGAATGAGAGATTAGTTAGCACCTAACAAGGGGAAGAGATAAAATTGGCATAGAATGATAAGCAAAATACCTCCCTGGTTCTCTTTCACAGATGCAAGTGAGAGATGAAAATAGTGAGTGACAGTACCATATTAAATCTGTGACTTGTAATATCCATCTGGACTGTAAATTTTGTTGTTCACCTTGTAAGATGTAAAGATCCTGATAATTTTTTGTGAAGGTTATTTTAGGCATACATCCTACTGAAGGCTTTATGGTTTTAGCTCTGTTAAGACCTGGTTACTTGGGATGATATCTTTTGGAGATGGACTTCAGTAAAACATGGAGGTTTGTTGGAGTTTTTCTATAACCCTTAGTCCAGCTTTGAAGTTAGATTATTTTGCCATATAACTGCTGAATAGCTGTCTGTGTAGCTGTCCATATGTGACATATGCCTGTGGAGGTTGGGAGGGATGTTGTAGCAAATACGTGCGTTTGTATCTGAGTATCTCGCTCTCCAATGACCTCATGCTACCCCACATTATATAAATCCAGGAAAAACGTGGGGCTTCCCTCAGAGTATAAGCACCCGTGTTGTAAGAATGTGAGAACCAAGCTACGTCTCCCAGCTCTTTGGCCATCTGTTAGATGATGGCTGGTTTGTGTAGATCTTTTGCTGGCCACGTGCCCCGATAGGAATGGTGTTATCATCAATAAACAGCATAAAGACCATATCTTCCCTTCTGATTCCAAGTTATACACGGGGGATGTGAGGTCGCCAGGTACCAGAGGAATGAAAAGGTCGGTCCAGTCACCCACAGAGCAGAATGGATTGAACGCAGGCGCGACGTGACCGGTCCCATCCCGACGCGTAGCCACGGCCAAGGAACAGTGCCATTACTATGGATGTTTCTCCCTCTGCTCCTGGCTGTACTGGTGTCCCTCACTTCCTGGGAGCTCTGCCCACAAGGGACAGTTTGGGGCCCTTCTGGTAACTGGAAATCCTACATCATGTATTGATTATGTAAGCCCATTCACTGCAGGCTGAGCTAGCCTTTATACTGTTAACTTTAGAGGTGAGACACCTGATGTTAATGCTGAAGGTCAGGGCACCTGGTGGTGGTCTCTTAATGCATTCCCACCCAAGGCTGGCCAGGCCCTGGGTGAAAACCAGTCAGGAAGGTCTTTCCTGCCTGGTTGTGGATATTGTATGTCAACTGTGATTCAGGGCTGGGGGTTTAGACCCCAGCACTTCAGTAAAATAGTAAAGATCAGCTATACTGGATCACATCCAAGGTGTGTCCCCATCATCCGTTAGCTTGCATTAAAGCTGTGTGAATAGGAGAAAAAAAATACAGTGGGTTTTTTTACTCTCTACTCCTCCTACTCCAGTTTCTGGCTGACAGCACTTCAGACAATACTTGAAGCTGGAAATAGTATTTCATGTTAAGGGTATTCAATAAATCTTTTTTTTCCCCTGCTTAATTGTCTAATTTTTTTTGAGCTGTTTTACACTTTTTGGCTCCAAAATATCCCATGGCAGCAGAGTACGCAGTTGAATTATGTATAGTATCTATATATGAAGGAGGGAAGAGATGTTCTTTGATTTATAGACCCGCAGCCTGATGATTTCATTTGTCATTCTTATGTTCTTGTGCTGTAGGAAATTCAAAACAGTCATTCTGCAATTCTCACATCTACTGTTTTTCTGTGGATATATTTCCCATTAGTTGTCTTTTTATGGAAGCTGAAAACACCTTTTGCACGTAATGTTTTCTTGAACAGAATCCGTTCTGTACTTTGATTTTCTTCAGCCTCCTGTGTTGCTAAAGAGGTCTGAGATAAAGGAAAGTATTTTGAGATGTACTGGATTTACTTTGCACGTGCAGATTAATGCTTTACATGCAGTAAATAGCATAGCAGGAATTCTGTATGACCTGATGCACTGGGGAGTTCAAACGGCTGCTGTAGAAAATGGTCTTACTTGTGTGGATAATAGTCTTCTAGTAATGCAGGATTTAGTACGAATCTGTTTCTCTTGCTTTCTGTACAGTATCAGTTTTGTGTTGTAATAAGAGACGAAGCCTCCTTGTGGCAGTGACGAAGAAGAAAACTGCAGGTCTGTGTGTAGCCTTCGAGGGAGTCCAAGGTTTCACAGAACTGGAAAGCTTGGTGCTCAGATGTTAGAGGATGCTCAGGAACGTGGCAGGGGATATGGTCAGTAGAGAGGGCTGGCTTTCTCCAGGTTACCTCCCTGGCTCAGTGGCTGCTAGAGCTGGGCTGGGCTCTCATATGGCAATCTGAGTGCCCCAGCAGAGTGTAGTGCCATGCAAGTACCAGGAGACCCCGTGCTGAGCTCTGGAAAGAGTTGTGTTGAGCCACTGTAGAGGTATCTTCTTATGAATCAGATAGTCTCTGTAGCTGTGTCCATGCTTAGCTTGGGCTGGTGCACATCCCAGTGGCTCTACAGCTGTGGAGCTGCCCCCCTGTTTGGCAGAGGGTCTGTATTGCAGGGCAGCAGTAGTGCTGTTTCTGTAACCAGGCTGGCTCTGGAGGTGTGGCTGTGTTCATGTGGCACAGTGCCTGAGCCAGTAAGGCTTGCTGGACCTGAACTATCTATGTGTTAGGTGGCAGTCAATAGTTCCAGAGATGCTTAATTAATCCTGCACATTAACTTTATTTCTGAATGGCTTGAGTTTGCTGTGTGGTGTCTTACAGTTTTTGTCTGAGGTGAATGGAAAAAATCATCCACAAGCTACAAATTCAATATGCATAGAATTATAAAATCATTTAGGTTGGAAAAGGCCTCTAAAATCATCGAGTCCAACTGAATCCATATACTTCTCCAATTAGTAAGTTATTGACAAATTTAATATGCATTAGGTGATGGTACCTGTCATCTGTTGGTTTTGATGACATGCAGAGTATTGGTCTTAGTTAAGACAGAGCAGTTATTAGTGTGATTTTATTCTAAAAGCTTACACTTCCAAAGTTATTTAAGTACTTCTATCTCTCACACTAAAAATTGAGCCTCGTAGGATTTTTTTTTTTCCCCATGTTACCTTGTGAGGAAAAAAAAATGTCATGGTTCAGGATTTGAAATGTGACACTGCATAGGTGTGCTGCTGCCCATAGTCATGGAAGTGTGTTCAGTCTGGCCTCCGAGGTAGACATGGGCGTCAGCCTGCACAAAGCCCACAGCTGTACCGGTGCCGCATGGGAAGCGGCACCTCTGTCTACGTGCATACAACCTACACACATATGTACTTCAGGTGGTTGGGGGTTTTTTTAAGCAATTAAGTTCTAATTTGTCACTGCCTGTTGTCTTTGTTGGCTAGGCTGATGACTGCAGAGAGAGAGCTGATGGATGCTTGCTCGGAACGGCTGTCCCTGGGCCGGCTGTACAAGGAGCCGGGTGTCTCCAGTGCCCAGATGATCGACTGCTGCCGGCGGCTGCGGGGGGAGCTGCTGCCGCGCCTCCGGGGCATGCACCTCTGTGTGGCACACTTCTACTCCGTGCTGCAGGATGGAGACCTCTGTATACCCTGGAACTGGAAAAACTGAGGACATATCTGATAATCAGATTATTTTTTTTTTTATTTTCTGTAAGAGGCTATAAATATGAATGTTTTTAAGAATAAATTATTTAAGTCTGTATTTTGATACCAGTATTCAACCCACAAATTTTCTTCTAACTGCTGCTCAGAAAGGATGGAGTCCTAGACAATTTGCACAGTGCACAGTATTGTCAGTTCTGGGAAAGACATCCCAGACATACTGTAGGAAGCCCGGTGTATGGTAGCAGTTGGGAAACTGCATTTTTGTAGTGAATTACGAAAATATATTAAATTGCAAGTCTGCAAAAAATGTGCACGTGTATTTTTCATATACATGAATATTGCCAGATAGCTCTTCTTAAATAGAGTGTATGACTGAAACCAGACATTACAAGTTATCTTAAGGGATTCACAGAATACAGAAGTTGAGTAGATGAGTTATCTGGTGGCAGTATTGGATTTCATATTGCCTATTACTGAATTAAAAAAAAAAAAAAGGAAAACCCATCAGAATATTTCTACTTTGCAGAAGCAAGCAGTACATTAACGTGGTCTTTACAGTAGATTTTCATATGCTGGTCCAGTATTGTTGCCTTAGAATTTTTAAATATGCCAGCTGTACTGTCTGCAGTTGCTTTAAAACAAGATGTCATTATCTTTCTGTTTTCCGGCATTTGCTCCATAAATACAGACAATCCTCTTTACTTACACCATAACAGATTGCAAATCCTGTTCTCGACTTTAAATCTGGGTAGTTTAATGTGACATCTAAGGAAAGGAAGCACTGATTTGTGTGGGATTGTCTGCAAGAGTGGGTACTTCTCAGTGAGAGCAAGGAGTCTGCAGGAAGGCAAATGAGTGCATCCCTGGTACTGGTACTTTGTTCCTTGAAAAAAATGAAGTAAGGTGTGAATGTATGTCAACACTTTTTCATTGTAATACATGCAAAGATGCTTTTTTGTTTTGGGTTACTATTTTGCATAAAATCTTTTTAGAAGAATCAGCTGCTTAATGTTTCTGGACTTGAATTCACCTATAACAACTGGCAAAAAAAAAAAAGAAATTGTCAAATGCTTACTTGCCTTGTATTTATGTTTGTATGGAGCAGGGAAATAGTTGTATTTCTCTGTTTTCTAGTGTTAAAAGACTCAGTGTCAAGTTGTTTATTATGTTGCCAAACTTCAGACAAAACCCCACTGTGATGTCTTAACATGCCCATTTTAAAACATCCAGCTGGAAGCTGGGATTTTCTCAGGGCTTTAATTCAGTTGAATTACTAGCAATTCCTGTGTACATTCTGGAGATCAGTTAACAGTTTCTTCTAAGTAGTTAACTTCTGTTGCATATTCCTTCCCACCACTCTGTCTGGCGTTGGTGGTACTGTCCATACCCCAGCTGTGCTAAGCAGCTGAGCCCGTCTGGCCATCTCTAGCCCAGCAATATCCCTGTAACAGCTCCTTGAAAATAGAGTGTCTTCAGGAATAAAAGCTGCGTGTAGCAGTATTCTTTTTCTTGCTTGAATTGGATGACCCTTTACAGGTCTTCAGGCACGAAGCCCCTTCCAATTTGACTATAGAGGAGATTTTTAGAAGCCTGAGGGAGGGGGAGTAGACCTGATCAAGAGCCTGATGCAATTCTGTGGAGACTGACATGAATGTCACAGCAAGCAGTGCCTAGATCTAGGGACCTTCCATTTGCAGCATGGAAAAGATTACTAGAACGGGCTGGAGGAGATGTAAACTGTGAAGAGCGTTTATGAAGCACGGGATGATTTCACAAGTAAAATAGGGCACTGGAGACTCTGACCTGGAATGGGGATCAGAGTAAGGAAGGGCAGGCAAGAGTGACTGGAACTGAGTTTAAATGTGGAAGCAGTGAAAACAGCTGTGGTTAAAACATTTCCAGTCTGGGATAGAGCTGAATGTTTTCACCATTCCTTCTAAGGGGAAGTAGCCAAAATCCTCTCTCAAAACATGTGAGCCCTCAAAGGGGGTAGCACAGCAGCCTGCTTTTCTGACAGCTACCTCTGGACTGGGGTCCTGAGTCTGCAGAATAAGCTAAAGAGTTCCAGTCCTGCTGCTAGCCCACCAGAGAGGTGCTCGGCTCAAGTGCTGTGAGGGTGCTCCCTTTTCTGTTAGGTATTGTGTTTTGTTTTCCTGAGTTCTGAAGGAGATGTGTGTCAAAATCTCTAAAACTGCTCAAAAGTTGAGCTATATAAAAAGGTGCATAGGTCAGAAATTCAGCAATGATAAGGTCTGGGTCTTAAGTGTCTTTTAGTGCACTTTGTGTGAATTGGTTTTACTGCAGAATAGTTGAGTTGATTCTACAAACATGGGCTTCCCAATGTTTTAAAACAAATTTAGAAAAGCAGTGGCAAAAACAAAAGGATAAACTAAATGTGCATGTTACAGGTATTTATTCTGACAAGTTTGTTTTACTTGAAGACTGTCCCAAAAATAACAGAGAATGGGTCATTTAGATAGATGTGTATGGCTTAAATCTGTGAATTATATTTTGATTTCCAGCATTTTAATGAGGTGGGGAGAGAGAAGGTTTAGAACTCTGAAAGCCTTTTGTCAGAATAACAGTGAAAATGGATCATGATTGAAACTTTTTTGTTTTTTAAAATGTGCAGAACACCTCAAATTCTATTCAACAGACTCTGCTGTCAGCTCATGGTGGAAATAGAATTGAATTTAATATTAACATCTACTGTAGTTTCACTCAGTAGGGAATTCAGTGCTTGCTCTGTGGCCAACAACCAAAAACATGCTTGGTATGAAGTCTCAAAAAGTGTTCTTTTTAAAAACAAATCCTAATATTAAATTGGTTGGAGTTATCGTCTTGCTGTTCTAATCATTATTGTTTGGCTTCGATTTGAGTTTTTATCCTCCTGTTTAGAAATCTAGAACACACATCTGAAAGATAAAAAAGAATCTCTGCCAGTGATCAAACACTTGGAACCTGTGCTGGTCATCCATCATGAGTCAATAAACTGTGATGCCCAGATCTTGTCATTCAGCCTCTGAGGATGGTGTAGGATTTTAGTGCAGCTGTCAATAGGAAGTTCAATACTAGATTCAATACTAGAATAAAATAGATGAGAACTTAAGACAAGATTTATCACCTCAAGGAGTTATTTTGATGCTGTTTAATTCTGTGACCTTGAGATGCATTGTCCTGGTTTGGGGTAGAACAGAACTAATTCCGTTCAGTTATTTTAATTTTCAGCTAAAGCTCTTCTAACTAACTGCACTGTCTGAAGTTAACAGCATAGTTTCACAGACAGTGTCAGCTTCTAGCAGTGCTAACACTCCATGTTCAGAGCTACCACCAGGGATTGGTGTGCAGACCAAGGCCACTGCTAAATCCTGTGTACCACATGGAGAGGGGCAGAAAGTAAAAGGCCACACCTGCAGGGAGGAGGAGACAAGTGACCCTAAATTCACCAGTGGGGTATTCCATCCCATATCCCTCATATTCAGAATAAAAGCTGAAGGATCACGAGGGTCAAGCCCCTTTCTTCCTCTTTTGCTTCTTCAATGGCCGGCATCCGAGGAGGACTCCATCCATCCTGCCTTTGATCCCGAGCCCTGTGTTCCTGAATCCAGTTCCAGAGTCCAGCTCCTGTGCCAGTTGCCATCTGTGTCTGAGTCCAGCCTGGGACTTCTCCCCGGGGCTGCTCCACAGCTGGGGGTGACGGTGACGTGTTGCCATCGGGGGGGAAATGGCTTCGATACCGGTTTGTGTGTGTATTTGTATATATTCCATTTTATTATCATTACTATTAACAGTAGTAATTTTATTAAAGCTGTTCTACTTCTCTAATCGATAAGTCTCTCTCCCTTATCCCCTTTCTCTTCCCCTATGAGAGGGCATCTGTTACAGGTCTGGGGGCAGCCCTGACCCTAAACCATGACATGCACTCATTGGCAAAGAGCGATTTCCATTTTTTCAGGTGTTGGTATAAGATTTTAGTGTGTCGGTTTTGTATGAACTGTGTTACTGACTCCTGCCTCTGTTTTAACAGCTTGATAAGTGGTTATTATTCTTAGAGCTGTCTACGCAAACTGTGTGAAATAATGCCCATTTTATCATTGCTTTTTTGGCTACTAACCCCTGTGGTACAGTCTTGGGGCTAGCTAACAAATAGACTTATTCATGTTTTGTAAGGCATTCAAAATGTTGAGAAAGACTTGAAAAGGGAAAATCTTCCAGAAAATATAGAGCTGATGTGTCAAAGCATATTCAAAATTAATCTGAATTTTTAATGGAAAACATAAATTCTATCTAGTTTGTGTACATTAGAGCTAAAAAATAAACACTTTCGGAGGAAAACTGTGAAATTATAAAGGTTATTAACTTTGGATTTTATTTCTGAGAATATATATATTTGACCAGGACTACACCTGTGACTTCTTGGACATGCACACGTACTGTATGTGTGTAGTACATGTATCTTAAG